ACCAGCTCTGGCTCTGTCCTCCAGAGATTGGAGCAGGGCTGTCCTGCCAGAGTTTGGTACCAGCTCTGGCTCTGTCCTGCCAGAGTTTGGTACCAAGGCTGGCTCTGTCCTCCAGAGTTTGGAGCAGGGCTGGCTCTGTCCTCCAGAGTTTGGTACCAGCTCTGGCTCTGTCCTCCAGAGTTTGGTACCAGCTCTGGCTCTGTCCTCCAGAGTTTGGTACCAAGGCTGGCTCTGTCCTCCAGAGTTTGGAGCAGGGCTGGCTCTGTCCTCCAGAGTTTGGTACCAGCTCTGGCTCTGTCCTGCCAGAGTTTGGTACCAGCTCTGGCTCTGTCCTCCAGAGTTTGGAGCAGGGCTGTCCTGCCAGAGTTTGGTACCAAGGCTGGCTCTGTCCTCCAGAGTTTGGAGCAGGGCTGTACTGCTAGAGTTTGGTACCAGCTCTGGCTCTGTCCTCCAGAGTTTGGAGCAGGGCTGGCTCTGTCCTGCCAGAGTTTGGTACCAAGGCTGGCTCTGTCCTCCAGAGATTGGAGCAGGGCTGGCTCTGTCCTCCAGAGTTTGGAGCAGGGCTGTCCTCCAGAGTTTGGTACCAGCTCTGGCTCTGTCCTGCCAGAGTTTGGTACCAGCTCTGGCTCTGTCCTGCCCAGAGTTTGGAGCAGGGCTGGCTCTGTCCTCCAGAGTTTGGAGCTCTGTCCTTTCAGAATTTGGCTGCTGGTTCCCATCTGTTCCTCTGGCTGAGGAGGAATCCCAGCGTTTGTCAGTGTGCTCTCTCTGTCCTGCTGCCCTGTTCTTTTCCTGCCGAGCCCACTCTTGTGTCGCTGCTTTGTCTGGGATTTTTCCTCCAGCGTAACGTTTTAAACAAAAAAAAACCCAAAAGAGCAAAGTGAGGATTTGGGATAATACCCAAAGGAGCTGTTGGCATCCAGGAGGAAAGTTCAGTGAGAGGAGCAGGGCAGGGACCAGCAGTGGGGGTGGGAATTCCCAAGTGAGACCAAAGCAAGCATTCCAGGCTGCAGGAAGCACGGCAGTCCCGGAATCCCAGCCTTTGTCACCCCTCAGCCCTTCCCTGGACCCAGGGGTGCTTTCACTGTAGTCACAGACCGAGAACCTCGTGGGCAGAGCTCAGAAAGGCTCTGAAGTCTCACCCCAAGGCTTTTGTGGCAGCCCCGGTTCCGTGAGTGGATGTTTTTAATGTGGTATTCTCTGTAGAAGTGCTGACCTTACATAAAACCATACTAAACCTTCCAGGGCTGGGTGGCTCTTTGTGGAGCTTTTTGGTTTTTTTATTATTATTTTTGTGGCGGGAAAAGCAAAGTGCTGGGAGGTACCTGGGTGCTGAGCTGGTGAGTAAAACCTCGTGCAGCCCCACTTCGCAAAGGTCAGGGTGTTCTGCAAAGCTTCCTCCCCCCGTGCAGCAGGAGAGGCTGCAGGGCTGGGTGATATTTCTGCTCCGTGATGGTGATTTCTGCTCCGTGATGGTGATTTTACTGCTCCGTGATGGTGATTTCTGCTCCGTGATGGTGATTTCACTGCCCTGTGATGGTGATTTCTGCTCTGTGATGGTGATTTTACTGCTCCGTGATGGTGATTTTACTGCTCCGTGATGGTGATTTTACTGCCCTGTGATGGTGATTTCTGCTCCGTGATGGTGATTTTACTGCCCTGTGATGGTGATTTCACTGCTCTGAGCCCAGCTGGCTGAAAGGGCCCCGTTCCTCATGGCAAAGCAGGCAGGAACTGGTAAAAGGGTGCAAGGATGGGTGAAAGGGGGCAGGACCGAGGAGAATCGAGGGCAGGACCGGGGAGAAGCGAGGGCAGGACCGGGAAAAGCGAGGGCAGGACCGGGAGAACCGAGGGCAGGACCGGGAGAAGCGAGGGCAGGACCGGGAAAAGCGAGGGCAGGACGGGAGAAGCGAGGGCAGGACGGGAGAACCGAGGGCAGGACCGGGAGAACCGAGGGCAGGACCGGGAGAAGCGAGGGCAGCGCCTCCGGTGCAGCCCGTGGCTCCCGAGCTCTGCCTCTGCTGGGGTTGGGATGGGGAGCGGCAGCCCCAAAGGCCGGGGGAGGATCAGACCGGGGGATTTCCTTTCCGTTCGCTCTCACCGGGACTCGCTGGAGCTGCGCACCGGGCACCGGGCAGCACACCCGGACCACGCTGCACAGCGGAACCGGGCGGGATCCCCGGGCTGGCATCCCCGGGCGCTCCCCGCTGTGCTCGGGCGGCATCTCCGTGCCCAGCACCGGTGCTGCAGGGTAGAACCGGGCGGGATCGTCGCTCCTCGGGGCGGGCACTGGCCGGGGCTCCCGGTGGGGCCGGTCGGGGTCCCCGGTGGGGCCGGTCGGGGTCCCGGTGGGGCCGGTCGGGGTCCCCGGTGGGGCTCTTTGGGCTCCCGGTGGGGCCGGTCGGGGTCCCGGTGGGGTCGGTCGGGGTTCCCAGTAGGGCTCTTTGGGCTCTCGGTGGGGCCGGTCGGGGTGCCGGTGGGGCTCTTTGGGCTCCCGGTGGGGCCGGTCGGG